GCCTGCTGTGAATCCTGGAGGATTGACTATTGGGGGCTGGTATTGGTGTGTCCTGGTAGGTGCTGCTGCTGGATCATGTGGGCCCCTCAGGAGCTGTGTTCCCAGCTGGTCCCTGGTGCCACCTGTAGCTGTATAGCTCAGGCCCTTTTGGAGCCGTGCTTCCTGCCCGTACTGTGGGCAGCTGGATCTCACAGTTCCTTTGAAGACCCAAGTCCACACCTATCTTGTGGGTATCTGGGTCACACAGGCCTCTTTGTTGCCCCAGCACCCCACAGGTGCTGCAGGCAACTGGATTGCTCAGTCCTTTTGGAGATCAGGCTCCATGCCTATCTTGTGGGCTACTGGATTGCATAGGCCTCTCTGGGGCCTCTGCACCTTGCAGGTCCCATGGGTAACTGGATCACACAGTCCCTTTGGAGACCCAGCTCTACACCTTGTGGGATGCTGAGTTTCATGGGCCTCTCTGGTACTCCTGCACCCTGCAGGTCTCATAGGTAGCTGGATCGCACCAGTTCCTCTCTGGATCTGGCTTCCCATTGCTATTGTGGGCTGCTGGATCACACAGGCCTCTGTGGAGCCCTAGGTCCCACTGCTGGCGGCTGGGTAGTACTGCTGCCCCTTGAGGCTCATCTCTTGCTCAGCCTTTGCTGTTATTTTTGGGGATGTGTCTCAGCTTCTGGTCTGTGCTTCTGTTGCCTGGGGATTGATGTCTGCTCCTCAGTCTCTGTTGCTGGGGATATATCTATACTCTGATTGAGCTGCTACTGTGGGGGATGGTGCTGAGCTCCTTGCAATTTGTGGCTTCTGAAATTGGCACCTTGGCAGCTCCATTACTGTGCACTGGTCTGTGTTGACACAGGTATCCACTGGTCTGATGGTGCCAGGTGCACTGGTGGGTTCAGGTTGCTAGGGTCTAGCCCCTCCCACTGCCTTCTACCAGGGAAGACCCAAGATCTTCCAAAATTGTAGGACTTCCCTGGGGCACAGGGAAAAGCGCCCTGAAGATCCACTTACCACAGTAGCCAGCTGCTCCGCATCCACAGCACAGGAACCTTTTGATTTGCATCTCTGCACTGCATGAGTTTGGTTGTCCACCTTCACATACACTCACACTCTCTCACACACTAGTTCACTCTCTCACACTTTCACCCTCCCTTCAGTCCTGCCTGCCGCCATATTTTCCTATTCTTTTAAATTTTTTTTATCTCCTTGGTAACCCATTAATTGTTTAATAACATGCTATTTAGCTTCCATGTGCTCAAATGTCTTTGCATGTTCTTGTTGCTATTGATTTCTAGTTTAATGGCATTGTGATCTGAGAAGACGCTTGATTTGATTTCAATCTTCTTGAACTTGTAGAGACTTCGTTTGTGCCCTAGCATGTGTTCTATCTTTGAGAATGTCCCATGTGAACTTGAGAACAATGTGAATTTTGCAGTTTTGGGGTGTAATTCTCTGTAGATATCTATTAAATCCATTTGGTCTAGTGCTTCATTTAGACTCTGTGTTTCCTTGTTAATTATTTGTCTAGAGGATCTATCCAGTGATGTCAGCAGGGTGTTGAAGTCTATGATTGTATTGCTGTCGATTTCTCCTTTGAATTTTTCTAGAAGATTTTTAACATATGTTGTTGCTCCTATATTGCATGCATATATGCTTACCAAGGTTATATCTTTTTTTTTGGATAGATACTTTCAATATTATATAGTGGCCTTCTTTTTCTTTACTTATGGTCTTCATTTTGAAATCTATTTTATCAGATATGAGTATTGCTACCCCAGCTTTTTTTTTTTTTTTGCTTTCCGTTTGCTTGGAAGATTTTTTTCTATCCCTTCACTTTCAACCTATGTAAGTCATTTGTTGTGAGATGGGTTTCTTGTAAACAACCTATATATGAGTTATGGTTTCTTATCCAATCAGCTACTCTGTGTCTTTTTATTGGAACCTTCAATTTATTTACATTTAAGGTGATTATTGATATGTACTTATTTGTTGCCATTTTTGTTTAGTGTGCCTAATTTTTTCAGTTACTATTTTTTCTACTATTTACTGCTGTCCTTTTAAGATTCCTTGCAGTGCTGGTTTGGTGCTAATATATTCCCTTAGCTTGCTGTTTTTGTCTGGGAAGCTCTTTATGTCACCTTCTATTTTGCATAATAGCCTTGCTGGATAGAGTAGTCTTGGATTGAGATCCTTGTTTTTTATGACCTTGATTACTTTATGCCATTCCATTTTCGCTGGTAGAGTTTCTGTTGAGTAGTCAGCTAATAGCCTTATGGGGGTTCCTTTGTAGGTAATCTGTTGTTAACCTTATGCTGCCTTTAGGATTCTCTCTTTGTTTTTTGGTTTTGGCATATTGATTAGTATTTTTCTTGGTGTGGGCCTGTTTGGGTTCTTCTTACTTGGGGCTCTCTGTTCTTCTTGAACTTGAATGCCTTCTTCCTTCACCAAGTTAGGGAAGTTTTCTGTCACTATTTCTTCAAATATATTCTCTAACCCTTGCTCAGTTTCTCCTCCTTTGGGGACTCCTATGATGTGAATATTGTTATATTTTCAGTTGTCCCACAGTTCTCTTAAGCTGTCTTCCTGTTTTTTAATTGTCTTTTCCTTTTGATTTTTTGATTGTTTGATTTTTTTCTACCCTGTGTTATAATTCACTGATCTGGTCCTCAGCTTCCTTTGCTCTGCTGGTAATTCCTTCCAAAGTGTTTTTTATTTCTGCTATGTTATTCTTCATTTCAACTTGGTTAGTTTTCAATGTTTCTATATCTTTACTCATGGTGTTGAGGTCCTTACTCATGCTGTTGACGTTCTTCAAGGTCATGGCTCTCAACTCTACCTCTTATAACTTTCTTCACTGCCTTTCACTGATCACATCTTCGACAGTGTTTTCTTGTTCTTTCTTTTGGGATTTGTTTCTTTGTTTCACCTTTTTGGCTATCTCAGTGGGTTTTGCAGCCTGCCAAATTTTCCCTGTGGGAGTTGGTGTTCTGCTGTTTGTGGTTCTCTCCACTGGGTTTGGATGAGTCTGGGTGGGCCCACGTTTAATACCACTGTCAAGTCTTACTTTCCTGGGTTGATTTGCAAGCCCAGGAAAGGTTCAGTTATCCTCTAGCTTTTTGCCTGGAGGCTATTAGACTCAGTTACTTGATGAGCCTTGGGTTGTGGTCCTTAGATGAATGAAAAACTCTCTAAGATGTTCAGCATAAGAGGATTTCCAGAGGATGGGGCAGATGCTGATTTAATGAGCCTCAATTTGCATTTTTTGTCCCACCTGGATGGGGTTAAATCTCCAAGGGAGGGCCTGCTGCTTCTTTCCAGAGCTCCAGGAATGAGCAAGATGGCCACTGTCCTATGCGGCCACAACTCAGCAATGACTTTGAGTACCACCCAAATCCCAAGTGTCCCCACATAGTTCCAGTCCAGTCTGCCCTCCCTCTGCCAAAGCCCATGGTGAGTGGTTATAGTTAATTTAGTGCTTTGTTTTGGCTTTTTGTACTGTGGAGCCGGCTTGGAATTTTAACTCTGAGGGAGCTGCTCACAGCTAAAACCGGTACTGTCCATGGGCTCCCAGCCTGCCCTTTTGCACTTCCACAGACCTACCAGGTTCAATTCAATGTCCCTGGTTATATAGTCCTTTTCTAGTTGATTTTCTGTTCCTTTTTCCTGACAATTTGTCTTTATTTTAGTTGTAATTCCAGTTTGGTCCTGGCAGAACATCTGTGTAGTTTCCATTCACTCCACTGCCATTTCGAATCTACCTTCATACAGATATCTTGGCAGCTGCCTTCCTAACACTTTCCTCAAAGTCTCCAATCTCAAACTTTTTCCAAGCAGCTCTAGTCTACTCTGCCCTCTCTCTGCTGGAACTAAAGTTGAGTGGCTCAAAAAAATTAATGCATTTGCCCTTTAAGAGTGTGTCTGCATATCTTGCCATTTCTCCCTGCTGTACTGAACCTCTGGTACTTTTCATAGCCAGGGGTTATGTGGGCATCTTTCCCAGTTCTGTTACTCTGGGTTGGGGATCCCAGCTTGGGGTTTATGCCCCAGCCTTCTCAGCGGAAACCCCACAGCTGAGATATCGCTCTGGAACTTTAGCTACTGCTTGTGGGAGCTTGGCCAGCCTTCTCACATCTCCACACTTACTACCAGTCTCAATGTGTGCTCCTCTTTAATCCAGCTAGTCTTCAGTTGATTACTCAGCATGATTTTTCTATATTTTAGCTGTAATTCCAGTTTTGTCCTGGGAGAAGGTCAATGTAGCTTACACTTAATCTACCATTATTTTGTAATCACTCATAATTATTTTTAAGTAAATGTTTTAAAGTTAAATGTATTCAGAACATTTATATTACTGAGTGTGTTTTTTTTTTTTTCAAAAACTTATTTAGATTCAACATTGAAAAATTGGGAAATTTTACATGATCATATTTTCTAGTTATCAAGTCCAGTGATCAAGAGTTAATAGAGATGTATAAAGAAAATGATGTCCAGGGAAGCTACTAAAAACAGAATTGAATTAAAAAATAAATAAAAAATGAATAAAAAAACAATTAAAACAGAATTGAAGGTCTTATGGCTTATATTAATTAATGTTCAGATATTTTTGGTATGTAATTCAGTTAGGCCATATTTATTATTTTCCCTTTTTATCTTTTTAGAATTTTTCTTATTAGAAGAACTTTCAAAGCTTTGTGAGATGAAAGCTTTAACATGTTATAGGGGCATTCTTAAAGGTGGAGGTTAGTTTATATGATTATTCTTTCCACTAGACCAGGGTATTAAAGCAGACATGTATATTATTATTTATTCTAGCTCCCCATATTAGGCTATTGGTGCTTGTTACAGTTGAAGAGAGTTAGAGCATTGAATTTTTGGAATGATAGTCAAAGTGTACTTTAATTTTATTTGTTATATTTAAAAAAATGTTTACAAAGTGTATGTATAAGTATGTCACATAAAATAAAATTGTAATATATACATTTAAAATTTTTTTTCAGAACTAAAAATGATAAAATTTTGTTAGAAACTGTAAGTATAGCATTCTCAGTTTGAAATTGCACTTTGCCTTTGTTGTTCATAGACTCTAGAAATTGTCAGAGTACATAATCTTAAATAAAGATCTAATGCTTACTTAGTTTATTCAAGAGAATTCTATGCATATGTGAGCTGAAAAGCTTTGTTTATTCTTTTGATATTATCTCTCAGAAACACGTCACTTATGAAATATTAAACTGTAATATCTCTCAGTTTTTTAAACTTTAATTCATTGTCTCTTCTAGTTTCTTTGCCTCTTTCTGTCTCAGTTACAACTTTACATTACAAATTAGTACCAATGGTTCATTATTTTTATGAGTTAATGAATACTTTCTTCCTTTAATAATTTAGTACCTAAATAAGTTCTCTATATTAAAGTGTTGTTTTTCATTGTTACTAAAATTATACTATTTGTATTTAGAAATACAAACAAATACAAAATGATTTCCAACTGTTACTAGAGGAGAAGTCAGTGCTGGAAAATGAACTACAAAAGTTGAGGAATACCGAGGTTAGTTAAATTTTAGTGTAAAAAATGGCATGCAGTACTTAAAAAGCCTTATTATATTAAAATAGGAATAAAATGTATATTTAAATGTTTTCTTGTACATTTCAATATTAATAAGTTGTAACATCTCTGTTTTTAAAACCTAAAAAGTACTGTATTTAAATGATATTAGCTATGAAAACCAAAGGATGCTATAAGAACAGACTAATTTTAAACATTCTGAAACACATTCATAGGTCAATATTTAACTTTGTTAAAATAGCAATCAATTAGGGTTTTCAAATATACTTCAAGTGCATTTTACTGTATATCTTTGCAATTATATAATGTGTGTCCCAGTTCACTATACCAAGTATAGTGAATAGAAATTTCTAGGATAATTTTTTTCCCTAATTATTCTCCCTTGAAATTTTTATAAAGCTTATAAATTTTAAAATGTAGACAACAAAGTCAAATGGATTAGGAGAAAATTTTATTAACTACTTAAAACCATAAGATGTATGTTTCAACATAAAATAAACATAAAATTATGAAAAATATTCTTTTCAGAAGCACTAATATTGGTTACCAGATAATTTTTCCTTACTAGATAAGGAGGCAGAAGTAGTATCAGGAGATTTGTTACCTACTCAGTTAAAGAAGCAGTGATCCTACATAGATCAGGTCTGTCGCACATATTCAATTAGAAATAGTTCATTTAAATGTAGTTCCAACTAGAGACAGAAAATTAAAAAAATATATAAAAGTATAGTAGTAAATTATTATATTAAATAATTGAGTAGTCTGGCCAAGTGTAAGAATTTTTCAATTCCAAAATTGTGGTATTGCATCCTCCCACAACCACATCAAAGTTACTACTAAACTACAGAACAACAACTGTTCAAAATCGCCTGAAATTGAGCTAAATGGAAGTCCTACAACTATGAAATTAAAGCAGCAGCCACATCGAGACTGGTAGGAGGGGCGGAGGTGTGACGGGCTGGTTCCAAACCTACGTGTGGAAGAAAAAATTAGAAGGATACCTCAGCTGTGAAGGTCCTACCTGAGGACTGAGGGGTCCACATTCCACATCAGGGCCCAGCTCAGGGTTCCAGTGCCAGGAAGAGAAGTGCCCATACCTTTTGGCTGGAAAAAGCAGCAGGAATTGAGGCTGAGGGAGGCTGAGGCTGCTAGAGCCCTAGGCAGCTTCTCTTAAAGGACCCATGCACAGACTTACTCGTATTCACATCTTCCAGGCTCCAGCATAGGGGAGGCAGCTTGAAAGACATATGGGTAAGAACTGAGTTGTTTGGCATTGGAGAGAGGGCTGGAGAAGTGGCTTTCTCCTGGAAAGACATGCCATCTGAGGCCTTTGTTTCTTTGGTGAGCCCTTCCCTGGGGGGGGCAGATAACCACCATATCTGGGACTCCAGCAACTTGGCTAACACTGTTTGCCCTGCCCTGGTGAATCCCTGAGGCCCTGCCCCAAACAACGTTCAGGCCCATCCAAGATGTTGCCAATTGCTTTACCATAAGATTGGCCTGTCTTGGATCCTGTTTCAGGTTTTCTTGAATTACTTCAAACAAGCAGCATCTGGTCTTAGCTAGCCCCATACCTCTTGTTAAGTAATACATAAAAACAAGCACAGGGAGGCAGTCAAAATGAGGAGACAAAGAAACAGATCCAAATGAAAGAACAAAACAAAACTCCAGGAAAAGAACTAAGCGAAATGGAGATAAGCAACCTAACAGATGCAGAGTTAAAAAGTACTACTTATAAGGATGCTCAATGAACTTAGTGAGAACCTCAATGAATTTAGTGAAGACCTCAAGAGTGTAAAAAAGGAGGAGTCAGAAATAAAGGATGCACAGTCCAAAATGAAGGAGGTACTAACTGAAATAAAGACTAATTTACACAGACTCAATAGTAGAGTAGGTAAAGCCAAGAAGCAAACCATCGATTTGGAATATGAGAAAGCAAAAAGCACCCAGTCAGAACAACAAAAAGAAAAAAGAATAAAAAAATTGAGTGTAGTGTAAGGAGCTTCTGGAACAACTTCAAGTGTACCAACATTCACATCTTGGGGGTGCCCAAAGGAGAAGAGAGAGAACAAGAAATCAAAAACCTATTTGAAATAATAATGGCCGAAAACTTTCCTAACTTGGTGAAGGAAACAGATATACAAGTCCAGGAGGCACAGAGAATCCCAAACAAGATGAACTCCAAAAGGCCCACACCAAGACACATCATCATCAAAATGCAAAAGGTTCAAGACAAAGAGAGAATCTTAAAAGCAGCAAGAGAAAAGCAGTTAGTTACCTACAAGGGAGTTCCCATAAGACTGTCAACTGATTTATCAATAGAAACTTTGCAAGCCAGAAGGGAGTGGCAAGAAATATTCAGAGTGATGAAAAGCAGGAACCTACAAACAAGATTACTCTATCCTACAAAGCTGTCATTTAGAATCGATGGCCATATAGAGTTTCCCAGACAAGGAAAAGCTAAAGGAGTTCATCACCACCAAACCATTATTATGTAAAATGTTGAAGGGTCTTCTCGAAGAAAAATATAAAAAATATGAACAAACAAAATGTGAATGGATACATATCTATTGACAATTGAATCCACAAACAAAATGAACAGGCAGAACAGAAGCATTCTCACAGATACTGGGAACATTTTGTTGGTTGTCAGATGGGAGGGGGTTGGGGGAATGGTTGAAGAGATTAAGAAGTACAAATTGGTTGTTAGACTGAAAAACCTCAAAGGAAAGGAGTGGTGGAGGTGGGGAGAGACCAACCAGAGAACTTATAAGGATAACCAATAGACATAGACAACAGTGTGGGGAAAAGCAGGAGAGGGGTGGGAGCGGATAAGAGGAGGTCAATAGGGAAAAAATGAGGACCATCTGTAATACATTCGACAATACAGATAAATTTAAAAAGAGAGAGAGAATCCTAAAGGCAGAAAGATATGCAACAGTTTACCTACAAAGGAACACCCATTAGGCTATCACCTGATTTCTCAACAGAAACACTACAGGCTAGAAGGGAATGGCAAGAAGTAATCAAGGTCATGAAAAACAAGGATCTGAATCCAAGACTACTCTATTCAGCAAGGCTATCATTCAAAATAGAAGGTGAAATAAAGAGCTTCCCAGAAAAAAAAAATACTAAGAGACTATATTAGCACCAAGCGAGCACTGCAAGAAATGTTAATAGGATTCCTGTAATTAGTAGAAAAAGGAAGAACAATATAACCCCAATAAACAAAATGACAATAAAAAGTACATATCAATAATAACCTTAAATGTAAATAGACTGAACGCCCGATCAAAAGAAACAGAGTAGCTGACTGGATAAGAAAGCATGACTCATATATATGTTGTTTATAAGAGACGCACCTTACAACATAAGATTCACATAGGTTGAAAGTGAAGGGACAAAAAAAATCCAATCAAACGAAAAGAAAAAAAAGCTAGGGTAGCAATACTTATATCTGATAAAATAGATTTTAAAATGAAGGCTATAACTAGAGACAAAGAAAGGTACCACATAATACTGAAAGAATGTATTCAACAGGAAGATATAACCTTGGTAAACATATATGCACCCAATATAGGAGGACCAAAATATATTCAAAACCTTCTGAAGAAATTCAAAGGGGAAATTGACAGCAATACAATCAGAGCAGAGGACTTCAAACACCTGACATCACTGGATAGATCTTCTACACAAAAAATTAACAAGGAAACAGGGACTCTAAATGAAGCACAAGATCAAATGGATTCAATAAATATCTACAGAGAATTATACCCCAAAACTTCAGAATTCACATTTTTCTCAAGTGCACATGGGACATTCTCAAATATAGACCACATGTTGGGACAGAAGCTAAGTCTCTACAAGTTCAAGAACATTGAAATTATATCAAGCATCTTCGCAGATCACATTGGCATGAAACTTGAAACCAATTGAACAAGAATTTGCAAAGACATTTGAACACACGGAGGCTAAATAGCAAGTTATTAAACAATGGGTTAGCAAGGAGATCAAAGAAAAAATTAAAAACTTCCTGGAAACCAATAACAATGAACACGCAACAACACAAAATCTATGGGATGCAGCAAAAGCAGTTCTGAGAGGGAAGTTCATAGCACTACAGGCCTACCTCAAGAAGCAAGAAAAATTTATAATAGACCATCTAACCTCACAACTTAAAGAACTGGGAAGCAAATAAAAAGAAAACCCCAGAATAAGTACAAGAAATGAAATGGTAAAGTCAGAGCAGAAATAAATGACATGGAGACCCCCCCCAAAAGAAAACAATTCAAATGATCAATGAAACAAAGAGCTGGTTTTTCAAAAAGATAAACAAGATTGATGGCCCCTTAACTAGACTCACCAAGAAACAGAGACAAAACCCAAATACACAAAATTAGAAAAGAAAGAGGAGAAGTAACAACAGACACCAAAGAAATACAAAGGATTGAGAACAAATACTATGAACCGATTATATGCCACAAATTGGACAATCTAGGCAAAATGGACAAATTTCTAGAAACACGTAGTCTCTCCAAACTAAACAAAGAAGAGATTGAAAACATGAACAGACCAATAACAACTAAGGAAATTAAAGATGTAATTAAGAAACTCTCAGCAAACAAAAGCCCAGGCACAGATGACTTCTTGGGGGAGTTTTACCAAACATTCAAAGAAGAACAAACACCCATTCTCCTCAAACTATTCCAAAAAATTCAAGAAAAAGGAGAACTCCCAAACTCGTTTTATGAGGCCAGCATAATTCTAATTCCATAACCAGAAAAAGTCACTAAAAAGAGCAAAAACTACAGTCCAATATCCCTCATGAACATAGATGCCAAAATCCTGAACAAAATACTAGCAAATCAAATCCAGCAATACATTAAAAAAGATCATTTACTATGACCAAGTGGGATTAATCCCAGGCTGGCAAGGCTGGTACAATATTCGCAAATGAGTAAATGTGATACACCACATAGACA